CCCCAACATGCACATGCAAAAAAGGAAAATGAGGGCAAGCAGGAGGCAGGACCCCACCAACATCATTCAGCAATATGTACTCCAGCCAAATATAATCACATTAGGATTAAGGCCAGAGAAGAGAAGGCAAACACCGAGCCAAATAGCGAATCAAACTTAATGAAATTACTCCCATTCTCAGCTCTACTGCATAGAACTGCACCACATAACTTCACATATTAAGAAGAGTTAATTTCTAGTCATAATTGACAGTAAATCTTTTCTTCTAGGAGGTCAAAACAAAAATAACTGAATTCATACAAAAATAAAGAAAAAAGGCATGGTGCAAAGCCCAAAAAATTAACTGACTATTAAATACATATGACCTGACCTCTGTAAATGCTTCTAATGAGCTCCTGTTGCTTCTCCACTGAATATTCTTACAATTTAAATCATGATTCATCAATTCGGTTAAGAAATCATGAAATCAAAACCCGAAACTGAAACTGAATCGAGTTATGGGAGGATGTATAGATTTAATTTTTATTTGATGAAGAAAAATCTGAAATTCCAACCTGAAATTCGCAGAATTCAACGAGATGAGGGCTGCCTTGATCATTCATCACCATTACTCTTCGTATCATTTTGCAAGTTCGCTTCGAATTCCGTAGATTTTGAGGGGTACTTTTTAAAAGGACTAAGTCAAAATCACTTCGTGACATTGATCAAAATTTTTTTGCCATTCACCAAAATAATCTTTGGAAGAGTAAATATCATTTTTGTGGCTATTATGTTTTGTAATTATAAAAATATATCATTTGTTCAAAAGATAATAATATTCTCTTTCAAAAAATTAATAAATTCAAACACTCGAACTTAAATTTCAAAATGAAATCACTTTTCTTATCAGATTTTCAACACAATTAAAAATAAATTCTCTTTCATCTGTTTGAACATTGAAATCTCACAAAATTATCAAATGTTTAATAAAAAAATATTACTCACAGTCGGCACTCGAAATTGATAAGTATAAATATGTATTTTTAATTTCATTTTAGTTAAATTAGTACATTATTTGAATTTTTAAATCTTATTTCAGCGTATAATTTTAGAAAAATAAATTATTACAGTCTTAAACGGATATATGATTTTTTAGCAAAAACGAAGAAAAAATTCATCTGTTCAGTAAAAATCAGCAAAATGGAAAAGTCAGACAGACATCCAGCCAAACAGTCCGGGTCCGGGCCCTTTTTTGTGTGTGTCTTGTCTAGCATATTTTTTTCGTCATTTTATTCTCGTAATTACAATTTTTTTAATAAATGATATTTCCTGATACAGATATGAGATCAGCTACTATCCTGATTTATTACTTTGGTGAATTTGAAAAGAATGAAAATGATCGATGGATGTGGAAATGGACGAGTTAAAGACATGGTTGTACTGCAATTGTGATAACATCAAGTACATCATATGCAGAAATGTACAATGAGATACAGAACTTGCTAAAAGTCGATCCCTCCGAGTACGATATGGAATTGAGATTTCTAATGGGCAAGCATACATTCATTTCAATTCCACCTATAATGGTTACTTCTGAAACTGAAATGAAGGTTTTAATTGAAATGAACCAGAAAATGCGATTCTTATTTGCGTAATTTTGATGAAAAAGAATGTCCCCGAGAATAAACACGAAGATTTCGATGGAGGGGATCGTAATGTGAATGAGTTTTGGGACACAGTGGAGATAGTACGTGATGATGTTGTGGCTATTATAGAGACAGTTGCTCATTACCATGATTTCATTGTTACACACAAAATTTGCTCGGTATTTCAAGACAATGAAAGAGATAATGACCTTACGAATGAGAATTTGATTGTTTTATCCCGTCTGAGACATGAGTCGAGTGGAAGTTCACAGGCTAGATCAAGTGCACGGTCCTCTAATTGTTCGCGTGTAGTCCCCAATGATGAAAATTTATATGTCAAGCAATTGTTTGACACGAAGAAAGATTTGCAAGAAGCTGTTCATCGAATTGCTTTGAAACACAATTTTGAGTTTAAATTGAAGAAATCAAACAACACACTTACACAATTGTCTGCGTTGACGACAGTTGCCTTTGACGTTTGTGAACAAGAAAATGGACACGAATGAGTTCTTTGTAGTTCGTAAGTATCCACGGGAATATATTTGCGAAATGGGTATTCGTCGAAATAATCACAGGCAAGCCCGATCATGATTCATTGGTCAAGAAGTAATGCACAAGTTTCAGGACCCACGAACAATTTACAGACCTTCGGACATCATTAATGACGTCCGTCGAGAGTACGGAGTGGTTATGAGCTATCAGAAGGCTTGGAAGGCCAAAGAATACGCGTTGGAGGATTTGATGGGTTTGACCGATGAGAGTTATACTAAATTGACCAGGTATTTCTTTGTTTAGATGTTTATTTAATATTTATTTCAAATGTTAATTATTCATTTCAATTGTTTAATTAATTATTTAATCAATTGTTTACTTAATGTCTAACTAATTATTTAATTCAATCATTAATTTCAATTGTCTATTTAATTATTTGTCGATTCTTTATTTAATGTCTAATTAATTATTTAATTCAATTGTTAATTTTTTAGTTTATTTAATATTATTTATTTAATTATTTAAATTATGATTATTGTTTATTTAAATTGGTCATATTTTGCTATAAAATGGGAAGAATTAATACTGGATTGACATTTTTTATTGAGAAGGATGTTGAGAATCGCTTCAAGTATTTCTTTATGACCCTTGGACAATGCGTTAGAGGATTTCGAAACACAATGCGACCCCTAATCTAAGTCGACGATACCCTTAAGGCGAGATACAAGGGAAAGTTGATTATTGCAACATGTCAAGATGCTAATATTCAAATTTGTCCTCTTGTATTCGGCATAGTCGACGAAGAAAATGATCGGCGATGCGTTGGTTTTTCACAAAGTTGAGGAGGGATGTCGAAAACCTTGCATAACCGATCAAGGGCAGTCAATAATTAACGGTATTGTCGAAGTCCTCCCCGAGGCACATCATGGTTATTGTATGTACCATATACAAAAAAATTTGAAAACCAAGTATCGAGGCAAGGGCATCATTATGTTGTTTAAGAGAGCTGCAGAGACTTACAGTTTTCAAGAGTTTGAAATGTTTATGGTCAAAATATAAAATAAATCCTATGACGCATGGAAGTATCTGACAGAGATGGGGATCGAACATTGGGCACGATCACATTTTTCAAGATGTCGATACAACATGATGACGTCGAATAATGTGGAGTCGCTCAATGCCTTATTCAAGAAGAATCGAGAGTTACCAATTCTCGCAATGCTTGAGAACATTCATGACAAGCTACAGCAGTGGTTTCATGATCGTTGTCAAGAATCACATAGTTGCACAAGTGTGCTAACCCCAACTCAGGAAGATAAACTCTTCAAGACTCTAGAGGTGGCGAGAAAGGTATATCTAGAACCACAAGATCAGTTTCGCTTCTTTGTGAGATGTGCATGTAATTTTGGATACATCATCGACTTGAATGATAATACGTGCATGTGTAGACAGTTTCAGTTGAAGAGTTTTTCGTATACACAAGCAGTGGCAGTAGCTATGTATAGAGAAATTTCACCACACACCTTATGCAGTGCTTATTATACAATTGGTTCTTGGAGAACAGCATATGCCGAAACCATATTTCTTGTACCGAATGAAGTCGAGTGGGAAGTTCCCGATTACATTCTCTCATTGAATAACTTGTTGTTACCAGCAATCGGCCCACGTACTCTTGGACGTACATGTACGTCTAGAATACCATCAACCAGAGAATTTTCTCGCCTCGTAAGTGCGACAGGTGTGGTGCAACAGGACATACCAGAAGATTTTGTACAAGTTAGATCCCTCTACATGACAACTTAACAGATGTATAATTGAAGTTTATATAACATTATTTATAATATTGATGTTAATTATTTATATTAATTATTAGATTTAGTTTTTTTATTTCAATATTTCATTAATTAGTTTCGTAGTATTTGAATTTTTTTTAAAACACAGTGTGTTCTCCCTAATATATCCAAACATTATAAATATGTCATGAAACATTTAAATAAGCACATAAATTACAAAATAAAAATTAAATATTAGAAAAATAATATACATTTTACAATTATTTCGTAATTATAAATGAATGAATGAAATATACAATATTTAAATATTACAATATGTACAATTATTTTAAAAACACGACTCCAATATCTACGGATCGGCATTAAATTCAAATAAATCACATGTTAATTTATTTCTCCAATTTTATATTCACGTTTGGTTGATTGCATCAACCTTTTGTGCTACACTCAAAATTCTATGTACTTGATGGCGAACATGCCGCAATCACCGCTACAATTACAAAATATTGTATTAGCATATCACCATCTAACTAGAACGTAAGTTGTAAATTAAAAAAATAAATACTTACGATATTTGCTGCCTCACTGTCGTTGTGTCCCGTACGGTAGCTTGTCTGTCATGCACGGTGATGTTCGCTCGTCTAGCCAGCATGGGGATGATTATAGAGACCGACTCTAGATTTTGCTCCAACTAACCTTGTGTCAGGCATGAATGATCGGAGTCATACACATACATAGTCGAGTCGACAAATACAATCTTCACTGCAATGTAGTGATGATTCACACACATCGGAATGTACAGATGCGTACAACCCTCCAATGGCTTTCCCCCGACACTTGGCCACATCCCTACGACCCACTCTTTCATGTATGTAGGCATCATGTACTCACTACCTATAGCTTAGAGCGTTTGGTACCCAATGTCAACGACACGTATGAACTAAGTGTTCAATATGAGTTGGCCAGGAATGTTGAACGATCTTAGATGTCTTTCAACTCGATCTCGTAGCAAATCCATGGCGAAGTCAATGTAGTGCATCAGGAAACACCAATTAAAAAAGGAATTATTTAATTTCATAAATTCAAAATTCAAAAATATGTATACGTAATAAATAACAATATTACTACTTCACTTACATCGTTGGCGAGCCAAGCCCCTGAAGTAGTGATGTCATGAAACCACTTATAAGCGTTCGAGATCGTCTTATAAGCAATCTTGCGGCTGTCTCTGAAAAAATAAGAAAAGAAATTATTAAGTAAAAGTATAGATGTGTTAACATCTGCGTAATGTACTGATCCTTAACGAATAATACAATACTTACTCGGGCGTAATTGCTCTCCACTCCTTCTTGAACGTTTTTCACTTGGCGTGGTCCACCTCCCTGAATAAATTGGGGTGCGTGTCATCGACGAACCTCCTCTTCTTCGCCTCCGTGAAAAGTGGAGAAATGACGTACTGTGATAGCGCCATCGACCTCTTGCCGACCATTAGCTCCAGCATGTCAACAACATACGGCACCCTCCCGATCTCCGGTACCTCCTCACCTACAATCGGGACCGCCTATTTCGTTCCCTTCGACACAATAACTACATTTGGCGAGTCTGCATCCGAGATGGTACCCTCTTCGCCTCAGGCACCCTCTCTTCCTCCGGCACCCTCCCGACCTCCGCCTCGGTTGCCCCTCCTCCTCCGACACCCTTACGACCTACTCCTTCGGTACCCTCTCCGCCTCGGGTGCCCCCTCCTCCTCTAGCACCCTCACGACCTTCTCATCCGGTACCCTCTCTGGCTCGGGTACTCCCTTCGTCACCATCTCCATTTTGACCAAATCCTCCATCTCCATCGGGCCACAGAGAAATGAAGCTAATGCATCATCTGATGTGCACGACAAGACAACATACCCCATCTGACCCCTCGAACCTGATAACTATCGGACCCTCTGTCACCCCCTCCATCCTGATTGTCGCCTGTCCCTCCACCACCCCCTCCATCCCAATACTCGTCAGTCCCACCCTGAAACCCCCTAGTTCCACGCAGGCCTGCTATGTAGTCCCGTATCGCTACAACCTCAGCATGAAGGTCTCTTTAACTGGCTTATACCATCCCGACATCATGTCGTAAATCAGTTACTTCACCTCGTAAGTCAACTACGTCACCTCTGATCTCCATCATAAGTCGAAACATATCGTCGATGGAAGCACTCTGACTACGTGCAGCAGATCCACGTAAATGTATAGTACGTACCTCATGATCGTCGAGGATAACCGATAACAGTTTTGTAAGGGGCTTGTCTTGTGTTCGCCAGCGATACATCCAAGGGATGCATATATCCCCTCTCCTCGCATACTGACTAGTCAGGATGGGAACAGTCTCGTAAACCTATATCTGCAACAACTACGATTATTATATGTACAATTTAATAAAAAATAAATTAACTTATTATGTTAAACATTTACTTGCAAAGCTAACGGCATGTCATAAACATCGTACTTACGCTCCGACCTATCTCCCCTAGGCATCGAATGCCCCTTCCTAAAGACACGTAAAGTATCGACAAAGCATCTCTACCCCCATGGTTAGCTGTTGAACATATCGATGTCATCAACAACTTGCAAATTAAAATCGTCAATCGATGTCTTCTTGTGATGACACCTCAGTACCTATTGAGTATAAACACCATTCCCAACTTCCACTTGTCAGACATCTAGTCACATCTCCTGAATGCATCTCCTAACTGCGCCAGTGTCACTGTCGTGTGCCCATTAAAATAATCATTCAGCAGCCTCTTGTCTGTCGGAATACTGGGCCTCGCTGCCTCTTCGCCCTTACATCTCAATCTAGCGATGAGGGTAAACTCGAATATGGAAATGTAACAATCTTGCCCCCAAGATCAAAGTGGAGAGTATCTCCGTCAACTAGCTTAAACAGTCGACATAGTAATGAATCGATCAACTGTACAGAGCACAGCAAATACAAGGGCCATAAGTAGGATCGACGTAACATCTCTGCGTGCTCCTCGTCTAATGAATCTAACACTGCTGTGAAACTGACAAAGTTACAATTCGACGTAACTTTGTCAGGAACTTGTCTTAAGGCGGCGTCCAAATAGTATCCATACTGCAAAATTTCAATTGGTAGCACATTGTTAATTAAAAATGGATAAAATATAATGTCACAAAATTCAACAAACCAAACTGTAAGTAATATACGCACGAAATAACAGATAATAAAGAAAATGAATTAAAAATTATAAAACAAATTATAAAAAGCGAAAAACTAATTTTTGTAAAATTATTTATTTAATAGTTTATTTTAATTCTTTATTATTTATTTCAATTATTTATTTATTTTGTTTCAATTGTTTATTTACTGGTTATTTAAATTATTTTTTGAACATTTAAACTTAAATATTTAATTATTTATTTCGAATTTTAGATATTTATTTCACATTTATTTTAATTGTTTATTGAGTGCTTAATTTTAATTATTTATTATAATTGTTTATTTAATTATTTTCATTTGTTTATTTAAATTATTTATTGAACATTTAAACATAAAAATTTAATTTTTTTTGTTTTTCTTTAGTTATTTATTCAATATTTATTTTAATTATTAATTAAATATTTAATTATTTATTTTAAAAGTTAGATATTTATTTCAATTGTTAATCTAAATTTTAATTACTTACTTTGATTATTTTTATTTGTTTATTATTTAAAATATAATTATTGTTTGATTGAAATTGTTTATTTTATATTTAATTACTAATTTTATTATTTATATTTAATTACTTAATTAAATAAATTATTTTGACTATTTATATTTCTTAGTTATTTTAATTGTTTACTTTTATTTAAATGTTCATTATTTATTTCAATTGTTTATTTAAATTATTCATTTAAATTGTTTATTTGTTTATTTAACATTTATTTTAATTGTTTATTGAATGCTTAATTTTAATGATTTATTGTAATTGTTTATTTAATTATTTTTATTTGATTATTTAAATTATTTATTAAACATTTAAACGTAAAAATGTAATTATTTGTTTTATTTTTCTTTAGCCGTTTATTCAATATTTATTTTAATTATTAATTGAATATTCAGTTATTTATTTTGAAAGTTAGATATTTATTTCAATTGTTTATCTAAATTTTAATTACTTACTTTGATTATTTTTATTTGTTTATTATTTAAAATATAATTATTGATTGATTGAAATTGTTTATTTTATATTTAATTACTGATTTTGATTATTTATATTTAATTACTATTTAAATAAATTATTTTGAATATTTATATTTCTTAATTATTTAAATTGTTTATTTTTATTTAAATGTTCTTTATTTATTTCAATTGTTTATTTAAATTATTTATTTGAATTGTTTATTTGTTTATTTAACATTTATTTTAATTGTTTATAGAATGCTTCATTTTAATTATTTATTGTAAATTTTTATTTAATTATTTTCATTAAATTATTTCTTGAACATTTAAACATAAATATGTAATGATTTATTTTATTTCTTTAGTTGTTTATTTTATATTTTATTTATCTATTAATTAAATATTTATTTATTTATTTTAAATGTTAGATATTTATTTCAGTTGTTTATCTCAATTTTAATTAGTTAGTTTGATTATTTTTATTTAGTAATTGTTTAAATTATGACTATTGTTTGATTGAAATTGTTTATTTAATATTTAATTACTAATTTTGATTATTTATTTTTAATTACTCATTTAAATCAATTATTTTGAATATTTATATTTCTTGGTTATTTACTTTGTTTACGTATTATTTAAAATTTTCATTTTCAATTGTTATTTATTTATTTGTTTCAATTGTTCATTTAAATTATTTGATTTAATTATTTATATTTATTGATTATTTAAATTATTTTTTGAACAAGTAAACATAAATATTTAATTATTTATTTTAAATGTTAGAAATTTATTTTAATTACATATTTTGATTATTAATATTTATGCATTATTTACATTTTTTATTTATCACTGAAATCATCATTTATTTATTATTTAAATGTTTATTATTTATTTTTGTGTATTTAAATTATTTATGAATACAACGAAAAAATTTAAAAATTGGGGAAAAAAAGGGTCACAGTTGGGCGGGCCGTCTTTTCCGTCTTTTACAGACGGCACAAATGCTGTGTTTCGTCTTCTCCAGCTCTAGCTGTCGGAGATCGTCATTTCGGCCCAAAAATACCTCCAAAAATGTCATTTTCAGTAATTTCACATAATCTACACAGATTTCTATCACTATTTCCAACAAAATAAACTTTCAACATCCAAGTTCAAAAATTAATGGGGAAAAAAATAAGCAAAACTTATCTTCTTCGCCTCTAATGATGGCCGATCGGTTTCTTTCCAAGAAAAAGTCGTCGGTTTCCTTGCTATTTCTTTCCCTTCCTTCTCCAGATATCGGTGTGAGTGATTTGTGTTAGGCGCATTATTGGTTTTTCATTATTTTTAAGGTTTTTACAAATTTTTCTTTAAACAGTAGTCAATGACCATTTTATCAAAATGACTATTTTTCGTGGCTATCTGCCACCATTTCCTCATATTTTGATGGCAGGGAACTCGGTTTTCATTTCATCAGTTTAAATAGAATTATAGTGTTAGTCCTTACATATTAACCATTTTAGTGAATTGATTCATAATATTTAAACAGGAGCAAGTTAGTACTCGTTGCACCATTAGTTTGACTTGACATTTTCTATATTATCGCACGGGTAAAATAAGTAAAACTCAAATAATTTTAATAATAAACAAATACAATTACAAATACAAATAAAATAATATAACAGAACAATTAAAAATAAGAAAAAGGAAAATTGAATAAACGTTAAAAAATAAATCTGTTATAAGATTCAAAATGAGGGTACGATTGTCAATTCCATTAAACTACGTGTCTTTTATCTTCAATTGAATAGAAAATGTTAGTTAAGAATAAGGGTGAACGAAATTGAAATGTTGGCCTAATTTGTACTTTTCATAAATGTTATGGATTAAATTGCTATAAATACTAAATTTTGGGACAAACACTATAATTGTCCCTTTAGTTGACCTTCTTTCTCCGAGAAACACCCAGCATCCTGTATCTCTGACTAAAACATTTCGTTACTCACCCAATTTATCCTATGTCACAATTTATTCATCAAACTTCAAACTCCTGATTACTCATCTTTGAAACCTAACACTCAAATCAATCATTCGGCAAATTCCATTCCCCTTTTATCGACGCATCACCTAGAAGATTTTTGTACTCACCATGTAAAATTTCTATGCGACACATCAGCAACCTAACATACTTCATTGTATATTGTTGTGCATAAACTTACACATGGGGTTATAAAACCAAAGTGCTACAGTCAAAGAACCCATAATTAGATAGAAATTACATTTCATCGTATATTGTTGCATATAAACTTGCAGATCTTGTCTTCTTGTAAATGTAACAATAGAAGAATATTTGAGCACATTAAGAAGAGGTTAAAAAAATTAAATAAATAACATATTTGTACAATTGTTGTTGAGAATTGTGGTTGACAACATTGATGATGTCAAAATTTTGGACCATTGATTTAAAAAACGATTTTTGAAATGAGTGAATGTGATGTTACCAAATTTAAGTTGTCAACCAAGATTATTAAAAAAAATTGTTCAAGTAGCATGATTCAAAAATAATATAAGTCATAGCCTTAAAAGGGTTCAATCCAAGGTTGATGCATCGAAAATTTTCCATCTAACAATACCACAACAGATGCCTCGATCATTTCTTATTATTGCTTCAAAATGCTTTATAAAATTCACTATTCAATTGCTTGTATCTGGAATCTCATTTCTTATTATTGCTTCAAAATAATATAACTCTAATGAGGAATGATTTGGATCAATTAAAGACCAAGGCGGCACAGTGGGTTCCTCTTAATGAGACCAAGATCCACCTGCAACAACCAGGCAACAAAATCATGCAATTGATGTATATGTAAGAAAAACCCACCTCAACAGTATAAAAGGTACGAGATGATTTTACCTTGTGCCCGAAGAGATCTCTGATATTGTCGATCCCATAAAGTATCATAGTGGGCCTGATGTAGAAGTACAGAAAAATTGAAGAGGAGGAGGAGGAGGAGGGGGG